AGAGAGAGGGGCATTTTTCTTTCGTATGTAAAGGAGGATAAGAAAAGGGAAAAGAGAAAGATTGAGGGGGTGATTTCAACCCATGCCCACATTTTGCATCCATTAAAAGATGAGCAAAAGAGAGGAAGTAAGCTTTCCCATCTCTTTTAAACGAAACATCACATTTTGTCTTTGAAAAGTCAACTTTTTTTTCTTTTCCTTTTTTTTTTGGGGGGATGAAAAATGAGGGTCCAAACACAAAATGAAAATAAAACTTATTATTTTTATATAATTTTATATTTTTTAAGATAAGAATATTTTTAAAAAATTTGAAGTATTATTTTCATAATTATTTTTGATAAATTAATTTCTATTTTGTTAGAAAAATTTTAAAAAACTAATTTTGCGTTGATACACGTGCCACGGCGACTTCTAAGTATGTTTAAGAGTATTTTGAAAAGTTGATAAAAAATTAACTTTTAACTTTTTACCAAACTTTTTAACTTTTTAAAAAATAATTTGAAAAATTAATAAAAAACTGACTTTTAATTTTTTAATTTAATATTTATTTATGATGTCAAATCAAATTAAAATAACCAAAATACTCTTACCCAACATAAAAAATTTATTTTTTTATTTTTTTGTCATAGGCCCCAATTTGTAATTTCACACTTGCCTTTTTGACACTTCCCAAACCAATTTTGTTTCGTTTTTACCACTTGCATTTTTGGACATTTGGACAAAAACGCGCCCTTGTATTTTGGTTCCCAAAACGGCACCTAATAAAAGGAGAAAAAGAATAAAAGAAATTTTTTTACAGCACTTTATAGCACAACAAACATCAACCCAAAACCATCACCATCACTTCTGTAACAGAATATAAAATGACAAAAAAAAGGAAAGAAAAGAGTTAATTAGGTGTGTACATCTCCAAGAACTCATCTCTCTCACACTTCATGAGCCCAACTTGGAGAGTTTTCACTTTCATCACAAGACCAAACCAACTCTTCTCTGCTGCATAACCGACTTTAGCAGAAGACAATTCATCCAAATCTGCGCTGTCAACAATGCTAGTTGGTGCAGTCAAAACCGTGGCAAACAGATAGCCAGATTACCAGGACCAAAAGTAATAGGATTCCGAGAACAACCACCTTAATTTTCATATTTTGGTACCACATCTTCCTTCGGATCTGTGTCCCTTTTTTCTTGAATTCTTGGGCCTGAAAATAGCAATAATATATAGAGGTGTTCATTATCCGTTCTAAAATGAAGAAGAAGAAAAAAAATAGAGATTATTGCTAAAAGGTAGACATGGATAAACCTACCGAATCACGAAGATCTTGTGCTTTGTCTGAGAGAACAGTTAGGTTTTCCCCTCGGTCAATAGCCTGAAAAATGTATATTGGGTAAATTAAACAAGATTAAATTCATTTTGCTTGTTTTTATTGCTTGTAGTGATCCAAACATGGTGCAAAGGTGCTTTCAATGACACGCACACTTCAATCAGACAGCGACAACAACAGTGAACTAGGAAGCGCATGATGCATTGGATGCATGAAAGGGTGTAATAATTTTCAACTAAGGTGGGGGTCACTTTGCCTTTTTTTCATGTTAGTTTTAAGTCAGCTATATGTTTTTGTAAGAGTTGAATCCATAGATTAGTTTTACCTGCTCTATCTACTACATGAAAAAATGTCAGCTTTCACACTCAAAGCTCTCAATAGCTCTAGGAAATAATTTAGTTTAATCAAGTAAAAAAACAACCTATACACTCACCTCATATGTCACAAGGTTGTGCCTTTGTCATAAAAAATGTACAAATATACAATTTCATTCTAATGCATCATAAAATTGTATCCTAAATCAGGGGCATTAAACAATCTCTACTTCACATTTTCAAAACATTAAAATGCGTGAGAATCTTGCTGTTAATGTATTTGATCTTCAAGCTGATCAAGTAAATCAGACTACCCAACAAAATTCTGCTTTCCAGTCTCGAGCAGAATTTTCAAGGTGCAGCAGAGGTCAAGGAATGGAATGTGGCAGATAAACTGAGAAAATAGATGCTGGCACATAATTTCACCCAAATATATATATATATATATATATGTGACCCAACATAATGCAAAGCAGTGTATCAGAATGCATGTAGAAAAGCCCAGATAAATAAAAATAAACTTTAAAAAAAAAAAGGTACACCCAGTTTAGTGCCCATTAGATGAGGGTCTGAGAGAGAGATTGGGTTATGGCATTATTTGCAAAGATGTAGATGTAGAAGATGGGAATGTCAAGAACAATGCTATCAAGAATTTTTATATTAAAAAAAGAACAAGAATGCACATGCATGAAAAAAGTAAACAATATATACATACAGAAGCAATAAGAAATAAATTACTTAAACCCTCATGTTAGATTTCCTTTCAAATGGATTTGTCATACCTTGTCAATATTTTCCAACATAATGCTTTTAACTTCTGAAACTTGGGCCTTCACTTTTAATAGCTTTTCAATCTCCTCAGCATGGTCGATTATGTATTGCATGTGCTCTTTCATAACCGGGCTGTAGATCAAAAGACATTGTCTTAATTCATTTCTTTATAGTACAATCTTATTGCTCAAAGGCATATCAATATTAAACATACCCAAACTCCTTATTGAGACTTTTGGCAACAGCTGTATCAGCCTTGCCACCACCATATCTTTTCTTGAAATCAGCCCTCATACGTTCCAAATATGCAATAGAAATCTGCTTCCCAACAGATTCTTTGGCAACGACACAATAAGCTGCAAATTCCAACAACCGCACTTTAAGTGACATGAAGCAGAAAACTTTGATTGTGATGCATTACAGTATGGGGTGGGTGGGACAGGTAAACAGCAACAAAGAACTATAATTAGAAGCTTGCATTTGTTGGCTCTTTCCACGAAATTAAGTACTTAAAATAATAGAGATATAATTAAAACTACAATGTGTTGTTTTTTCTTTTCTTTCTTTTTGCAATCAAAACGTACTAAGACATTGAAATTTGAAAACTATATAGTCAACAAAAGTTATCCTCCAAGATATTTTACAAGTGCAACAATGATTGTTAAAATATTATCCTTCACGATTTGATTCATACAATTTGATACAAGTTTCAACCAAAACAATTCAATTACTATTGAATCTTAAATTGAGAGAATCATATGATTCGATTGAGATTCCTCTGTCGATTATGATGCATTACAGTGTGGGATCATGGAGGGAACAACAACAAAACTATTGTCAAACTACCACTACTTCCACAACCACACAATGTACCACCTCAACTTAACAAGCATTATCTGAGCTCTTTTGAGTTGGCTAGATGAATGCTATTCTGCACTTCCTCTCTAAGGCCCTAAAACCCATAACTTTACTTAAACTACAAATTAACATACCATTTCTTGCTATTCTAATCTGCTTTTATTTTAGTATGTCCCTTATCCTAGTATTTCCCTTAATGCGAAGTAAGTTGGTCCTCCTTGCAAGCATAGATATTTGTCTTTAGTTGCTCAGCACCAAACCATCTTAACTCAGTTTTTTCTCATTTAACTAATTTCTAATCAACTATAATTGGTGCTCTGGTTATCCTAGTATTTCCCTTAACTTGAAGTAAGTTGGTCCTCCTTGCAAAGCACATATATTTGTAAACCATCTTGCTCAGTTTTCTTTCATTTAACTAATTTCTAATCAACTAAAATTGGTGCTACTTCTATGGAAGCTTCGTAAAAATTTATAAATGCAACAGTATGGCATATTAGCCTGCCCTAAGCCAACCCCTATATATATATATATATCCCCTAAATAGCAACAGTACTCGGCTAAGCGAATCCAGTGGTATTATCTAACCAAATTTGTAAAGGATCAAATCCCTTTCTCTATGCAAATTTATGTACTTTTTTGCAATACATAATACGAAAACAATTAATCAGGATAACAAGATACAATTGTACAACAATCAATGAAAGTTTCCACATAATAACAAGAACAGAAAATAAAAAGTTTTCCATTTAAATAAACCCAATGCTTGTGCTTCATATATCTCTCACTCTTGAGTTAATTAACAAATGGACAATGAAAATGTCTAGGGCATCTTCAATCGAAATTGAGAGCCTAAGTCTTGTATGGTTAGACGATGAATTATACTTACAAAAAAGCCTAATCACAACAAGAAATATAGTAGCTAGTGCTTCTCTCTCACAAATTTAATAACCCTCTGAGCATGTTTTCTTAATAGACTTTAAATTAATCACTGTGTGAGCATGTCTCTGAATCAAATCAATACACTGTCAATCCAGTTAACCTTCAAGCAAAGCAACCCAAGGAGACAAATTGTCATTTAACTCTCAAACAATTTTTTTTTTTTTCAAAAATCCTATATCATAGTTCTTTGGTACAGTTCAAACCATAACTTACCCTAATAACAACCAAATTCTTATACACATTTCCAAAGAATAATCAACAACAATATTAATTACAAAACCCTCTATGTAAGACTGATTAAAATCCAACTAATTGATTAGGTGATCCAAGCTATACACTTCTACCAATACCAAAACAGCAAAACACATAAGATCCAAAACCCAACTTTTTTTCTTTTCTTTTCACCTGTTTTATCAGCAACCAAACAGAAAAATAGCAGAATCAATCATAATTAAAACAGAGCAACATATCACAGAGAACATCATATCATCTCTTTCGAGCTCCCAAACTACTTAGAGACTCAAACTTTATACAAACAAAGTTCAGATCCACCGAGTCCCACTAAAAATTCAACTTGAACCCATGTTTGGTTCCCGAGAAAATGCAGGGAAAACAAAGAGATCGGGAAGGGAAAAGTTTACCGTAACCGTCCTCGACGAGGAAGTTGAAGGTGTGATGGTCACAGTTGTAGGTGAACTTGTTGTTGCCCGAAGGGAGTCTCTGGAGGCATTGAGTCGCGATCGCTGGAAAGTTCCCAGTGAACTCGGTGTACTCGGCCAACACCATTGTCCCCCGAGCCACGAAGCTGTATATGAACGATTCCTGACCCATCTCTCCCCTGACTCGCTGAGTCGAGCTCCGAGTTTTAGAGAGAGAAAGGGACAGCCCAACGACTATCGAGCAGAGAGAGAGTTTTCTTTCCGAGTTCTCTTTCCTTCCTCTGTTCTTCTCGGGATTCCTCTACGTTAGCATTTTTAAGGCTCCGTCTGGGTTTTCTTTTTAACTTTGCGGCGAAGTTAGCACATCTTATTATTATTATTATTATTATTATCAACCGTGCTGGGGACCCCCATAAATTATTATATTATTTAATTTATTTTTTTAATATTATTTTATAAAAAATTATAAAATTATTTTATTTTTTTAATATTATTTTATAAAAATTTATAAAATTACGAAAATAATTTATTTCCAAACAACACCTCGTCATCATTATTATTATTATTAAAGGGTTGGACTGGATGACGATTAAAAGCAAAATTTAGGACGAGCCAAACTCATTTTTTGCTGGTCGTATGTTAAAGTTTGAATTTTTTTTAAAATTTAGTGTAATAAACACACACACATCAAAAAATATATATATATATAACATTTAATATAAAATATTTTAATTGATTTAGAGGTTGTTTGAAGACACTAAAAAAAATCAACTTTTAATTATAAAAAATTAAAAAGTCAGTTGTTTAACAATTTAGTGGCTTTTTTATGTCACATCAATTTTTTTCTTACAAAAAATAAATTTTTTAATTTTTTTTATAATTAAGTGTTCGATCTAATTTATACATACTTTGATTAATCCCAAATGACTAATTCTATAGCCGACTTGGGGTCCATTTAAAGGCAGAGTAAATACCCAATATAGACTGTCTCAAGAAACTTATTACACTTATGCTGTGTTTGGTTGGGGGATTTGGAGAGGGATTTGGAAAGGGAAATGGAAAAGGTAGGTGAAATGTGAATAAATCATGCCTATATTTCACATAGTTTCACATACATTTTCCATTTTCCTTTCCAAATCCCTCCCCAAATCCCTCAACCAAACACACCATTAGTGAATATTAAACCTGAAAAAACATGCTCAAACTTTCTCAAATGTATTACCTAAAAGAATTAAAAAGCCAAACAAACAAACAAGCCTCAAACACCTACATAGTTATGGAAAATTGCAATGCTAAATTTTATTTTTTTTTTAAAAAATGAATAAAATTGACTTTTTTATGACGTTAATTTTTTTTAACTATATTAATTAATTACCAAATGTACCCTTAGGGCTGGCTTAAAATTTTTAAAATTGAGGCAAACATTTTCTTAACAGTAGTTATTAGGTTTTTCTGAAATATAGTTATGTGGTATTCATTTAAAGGAATCAGGATTCCTTTCTTGAATTTTTTCCTTAACTTCATACTTGTTAGGTTATTGGGCCCACATTTAGTCCTAATTTCGATGATTTGAACCGTTCACATTTTAAGATTTGTTGAGTATATCATACCTGTAAAAAATCAAGTTGATCGGATATCAAGAAATATGTGTTCGGAAAACTATTTATTAAATTTTTTTTAAAAATGATTTTTAGTTTGATGATCCGAACACATGTTTTTTGATATCCGATCAATTTGATTTTTTACAGGTATGATATGTTCAACAAATTTTAAAATGTGAACGGTTCTTATTATCAAAATTGAGCCTAAAAGTGGGCCCAATAACCCAGTAAGTATAAAGTTGTGCGGGGAGCAAATATTCCGGCAAGCCCGTACTCCTTTCTTCCGAGCTCCGTTTATGTCCGATCACCTGCGAACAAATAACGGTGAGCTACCCGGCGGTGTGTGGCCGGAAAAACCCTCCGACGATCAAGTTAGCACACACCTTAGGATAGAGAGAAAGAAGGAGAGAGGTGTTTGAGTGTAAGAAATTCCTTACAAAGTGTTCATCTGTCGCGTATGGGAGGCGCAGACATGCTTATATAACCTCTGCGCCCCATATCCACTCCCAGTCATCTCCTGACACGTGGCTCCGCTATCCCATCTGTCAGCATAAACCTTGCCGATCATCACCTAATCTCAACTGCCTGCCTACTCAGCAGGAGCTCGGCAGCCGGGCTGCTCTATCCACGGCCGTACTATGCTTCATACCCAAGCACCTCACTGGATAAACCCAAGGAGGACCGGGCTAGGCGGCGTCTCGGCAGAGCCTAGCCCGGGCACCTCCTGTGGTCGGCCTCCCTACCGAACAAACGGTCTCCTCGGTTGACCACGCCTTTCTGGGCGCCGGTCACTCAGCTTGTCTGGCTTCAGCCATTCCCTGATCAAGCAGCTCGGTCCAACCGAGCACTGCCTTGCCGAGCTTCTTTTTGGTCCGGGGCGGCTCATACTTGGCCCAATTCCTACCCGGGCCAAGTTCTGGCAGCCCATCTCCGGGCGGATAGTTGATCATCTCGGCCCCATGCACGATTGGGCTCTCTTCCTGCTCGGCCGTTGCCTCGGCCCAATTCCAAATCATAAATCACCCTCTCAAAAGTCAAGTAGGAAACTCAATGAGAGAATCCTGATTCATTTCAAGGTGCTATGCTTGGTGAAAAATGAGAAATAATGTATAATAATTAGTGAAAGAGTACGAATACAGTATTCCAATAATATTGTACAGTTTTTCCTACAAGATAGGAGTGAAACGGCGCCGTGTGATCCTTGTACGATTGAAAATGGGGCTTGGAGACTTCTGGAAGTGGATTGACTACTTTTCTTTTTTTTCTTTTCTTTTTTTGTAATTTGAAGATACCTGCCTTTGACTTGACGGAGGAAAGGAAAGAAAACTACAAAACAAGAGAGACATTGATTCGCTTTAGACGCCGTTTAATTAATTAATTTATTCTGCACGTTTTGAGGGTGTTTTGAGAAGATTATTAAAAATTAATTTTTTAAATTTTTTTTTGGATTTTTTTATGTGATAGGTGATCTGATTGAAAATAAGTTAAAAATTAATTTTTAATTTTTTTGTATATTCCTAAATGGCCCTAGAGAAGTGAGTTGGCTTTTTAATTTTTTACTTTTTAACTATTTTAGGAGTTATTTAGAATGAAATAAAAGTACTTTTTGACTTTTTATAAAATACAAGTTGAGATTGAAGTGATGTGGTAGAGAGGTGAAATGACTTAAATAAGATGATGTGATTTAAATAGGATAGTGACTTTTTGACTTTTTTAGGTCACGACTAGGGCTGTGCAAAATACCGTCAAATATGCTAAAATTGCACCGATCCGCATCAATCCATACTGCTCTAACCGCTAACCGCGGTTTAAACTTTAAAATTTATAATCCGTCAACCGAACCACCCCGCTCCGCTATAGTTAATACATACATATTTTTTAATTCCAATGAAATATTAATGTAAATATGAGTGTGAATGAGATTTAAGATATGAAATTTATTACAAATTAGTGGTTATATATACGAAACATATTATGTAAAATTACTTTGTGTTATATATCTAAAAAATATTATACAAATTAGTACTATATATTATGCAAATGTATGATAATTAGTTAAAATATTCTTCGATCCGCCAATCCATCAAAAACCGCCCAAACCGCAATTTGTCAATCCACTAATCTGCTAACCCGCCATTCGGTTTGTAATTTTACTGTCAAACTGCCCGAACCGCGCCGCGCACATCCCTAGTCATGACAAACAATTCCTTAATTTTGGGCTAAAAAATTTCATTTGGGATAAATTTTTTTGCTTTTTTGACTTTTGTGAGAAAAAAAATGAAATGATTATAATTTGAATGTCATATTTTATCTTAGGTCTCGTTTGACAACTTTCAGTTTTAGCGAAAAAGTCAAAAAGTCACTATAAGTTGTCACATCACTCTCACTATTTTTTTGCACATATTTTCATAAAAAGTCAAAAAATTACTAAAATAATATATTTCCAAACGAGGCCTTATTGAGCTAAAAAAATCTATTTAATCTTTTTATGACTATTTTAACCCTACCACACACCAACCCAACTTCCCAAACTAGTGCTAAAGCTTTTTTTTAAGCAGATGAAAACAAGTCAATTTATTAATTTATTTGAGTTACATAATTTTTATATTTTTTGATACATTTTTTTATAATAAATTAAAAAGTTAGTTTACTAGCACTTTTCAAAACAAGCCTAAGGCCAAGTTTGGGGTATGTAAAAAAAGTTAAAAAGTCAAAAAGTTATTCAAAAAGTTAAAAAGTTAACACTATTCACCAAAATTCAACAATTACGACTGCACAACTCACAATCTTAATTTTTCTCTACAAACCAATTTTTACAATTTTTTATTACATATTTTTTCATGAAAAGTCAAAAAATTAACCCAAACATCCATATTTTTTCCCTCAAATTTTTAGTCCAAAAAGATAAAAAGTGCACTTAGGACACCCCAAATAACCCCTAAATAAAGGATATTAATTAAAAATATAAATTAAATAAAGTAACATTAGAAGTAATAATTGATGCTGCAATTATTACGATTCCATGCTTTACATAGTTCTATACTTTGTTGGTCTTTAATATTGTATTATTAAGATACACATGTAAATATATTTAGGTTGTATTTATATTATAAATTTTAATAAATATTTCAAAAGAAAATGAAAAAATGTAATAAAAATATGAATGAAATATATATATATATATATATATTTAAAAAAAAAAATCATTCAAATTTACGATCCAAACACGTATTAAGGAATGTTAATAACACAATGAATTACACAATAATCCACATAAAATACATTGTTATCTGTTCATATCATTCAATAATGATGTTTGAGAGCTCTAATGAAGCTCTAATGGTGGGTCTCACATATTAATGTAATGTTTTGACTTGTTTTCTTTTATTTTCTCTTTTTTTTTTTGTGTGTATTTTTATTTGTTTGACACCTCACTAAAGCTCATGTTAGAGCTCTTTTCCATAACTACCCTTTAGCGTTAATGTTTCATATGGTTGCAATTTGCTTTGTGTTTATAAATTTGACACAACTACATTGTATGATTTTAAAATTTTTTATTCACATAATACTTTATTTCATTTTTATTAATCATAGGTTTATTATGGTCCAACTTGGGAAGTAAATTTTTAATTATTTTAAGTTAAAATTTACAAAAAGACAAAATAAGTTATAATAATTAATGAGATAAAATATCATATCAAACTCATAATCATTTCATTTTTTTTCTCACAAATGTCACAT